ATTTTTTTGACTGTTGGTTCCAAGGGTGTTTGCTGATTGAAAATGCCAATCTTTCTCCACCTATCAAAATGTTACCTATTAGCTCAGTGGTGAGGATTTTAGTCCCTCTTTATCCCTTAGATGTATTTGCTACCATATTGTTTTAAAAATTATAATATGCCTGGCATAGAAAGTACAGAAGAATGTTGATTCTTAATAAGGTAAAATGACACAATGAGCTCATGTACATCAGAGATGATGAGGATGGCATCATTGTACTTTTGATTTGTATCTCCCAAAGGCACGTGGCTGAAATTCACCAAGTGCTCCTTGGGAAAAGGATGGGCAGTCTCTTCTCATGCGACTTACTGCCTATGGAAAAACCTGATGGTGGGTTAACTATAGGTTGGTTCCAACTTGACGAAACACAACTATACAGCTAATGAAGACCATGTGGTGGCAGAGTATGTTATGTGTTAGGTGACATACATGCATCAGCACATCCATATGAGAAAGATGGCAGTCTCTCCCTATAAAGACTGAAAGCCTCAGAATCTAGTGGAGCACCACTGAGTCAGAACGATCTTGACTGACAACAGTGGATCACTGGCTAATGAGAAGACATGGCACAGTGGTTAAACATGTGGCTGCAAACAGAAAGGTCAGCGGTTTTTGAATCCCCTAGGAGCTCAAGAGGATAAAGATGTGATTGCAGTTTGCTATAAAGACTATAGCTTTGGGGCCCCTATAGGGAACCCCTATTGGGGTATTTCTACTCTGTCCTATAGCTAATTACTGAGCATCTTTTCACGTTACTTGGTTATCTTCTTTAGTAAAATGTCTTTTCAGGATGTCATTTTAAAAACTAAGGTGCACCTAATCCAATCCATGGTCTTTTAAATTACTTGCTATGCATTTGAAAGTTGGGGCAATGAATAAGGATGACAGAATAATTTATGCCTTTGAATTGGATTGTTAGAGTACTGAATATCCCCTGGACTGTCAAAACAACAAATATGTCTTAGAGAAAGTCCAATTAGGGTACTCTTAAAAAAAGATGGTGAAGCTTAGTTTTACAGACTTTAGGCACGTTTTTACGATAGATTGTTTTTGTTATGTGCTGTCGAGTCGCTTGTGACTCATAGCGCCCCTATGTACAACAGCCCTAAACCTTGCTCTATCCTGTGCCAATCGCATTGCCTCTGACACACCCATCCCGATTACCCCAGTCACTGAATCAATCCACCTCATAGAGGGTCTTCCCCTCCTGCGCTGTCCCTCCACCCTACCAACATGATGTCCCTCTCCAAGGACCGGTCTCTCCTAACAACATGTCCAAAGTATGTCAGACGAAGCCCCAGAACCCTTGCCTCCAAGGAGTAGCCTGGTTGTTTGCTTTCTTGGCAGTCCATGGTACATTCAATACTCTTCTCCAGCACCACAGCTCAAAGGCATCAATTCTCCTTCTATCCTCCCTAGTCATTGTACCACTCTCTGATGCATAACAAGTGATTGCAAAGACCATGGCCTGTATCAGAGGCACCTTAGTCTCCAGAGAGACACTGTTGCTCCTGAGTACTTTAGAGAGGTCCCTAACAGCAGACTTTCCCAATTGCAATACATTTTTTTATTTCCTGGCTTTTACTTCTTGGAAAAAAGACCAAGAACCTCAATGAGATGGACAGACCATGCAACTGTTACAATGAGACTCAAGTATATCAGAGATGAGGAGGCTGGCACAGGGCAAGGTACAGACCTGCTGCTGTTCAGAGGGTTGCTATGAGTCCTAGTCAACTGGATAGCACCTACTAGAAAAGCCATTTCACATCAAGCCATAACGGTTAGTATCTCCAAGTGAATTAAAGCTATGCCAGTTACTACTAAAATTATATACGATAAACTTCAGAATGTCTGGGATTTCAAAATGTAAATAGAGACTGTGACTTACATATAATATCTGAGGAAAGGGATAGTTACATATTAGAGGAAACAAACAATGAGAGATAGTGTATGTTCATGTCTGGAAGTATGGTGGTCAGTGAGGGGTTCTGTTATGATATGGAAGAGAGCGAGTGTTAAAGATATCTGGGTGCAGTGTATTCCCAGGAGGGAGAACATAAATGCAGAAGCAGGAATGTACATTATATGTTTAAAAGGGAACAAAGAAGTGGCATGAAATTAGGTCAGATTGTTTGGAGGCCCATGGGGATTCATTTAGGGCTTCAGAGATCACTGTAAGTTCTCGAGATTTTTCAGAGTCAGTTAGAAGTCCACTAGAGGATTTTGAATAGTTGGGTAGTATGGTTGGTGTAAACAGGTTTTTTAAGAGTTCTTTTAAAAGAAATCTGTTCAGCAGATAGGAGGGAGACAAGGCTGAACTAGGGATATGAATTGGAAGGTCACTGACAAATTTATGATGAGAAATGTTAGTGGCTTGCATCACAGTGGTAAGGGCTGTGGAGAAAGAGACAAGATTCTGACTATATTCTGAAAGTAGTAGAGATAGGATTTGCTAATATATTGCTTATGATGTACTACAAGAAAGGTATGAAAGAATATACAAAATTTTAGATCTGATCACTGAAGATTTTTTAGATGGGGAAAAAGATTTTGAGGTGGATACTAGAAAAGCCGTCTGGTTTTGAACATGTTAAGTCTGAGACACCAATCAGCTAAATTGTAATTAAATGAAAAATTTCCATTATTTGTTATTATCGCTGTATTTCAGTGATAGGCTATCATACAGAACACAAAATAAACATTCCCATTTTGCAAAAATTTGCCTTGGGCAGCAACGTTTTGGGACATTCTACTGAGTGCTACCTTTAGGCAAAACAGTGGTGTATAAAGGATAGGTAAACAGTACACTATTTTGGAAGAACCTCTAGGGAAACAAAATGTGTATTAATAAAATACCAAAGTCCATTATAAAATGTGCCTGTTTAAAAAATAATATTGTTGAGGCAAATCATATGAAACATGGCTTCTTAGGAATAGTTGGCTCCATCTTCAATCTGTTCCTATCTGTTACGGCTTCAGTTGGAGATTAGGGAACAGGAGCACAAATAAAAATGGGAACTGCGTGAGCAGAGTTCAATGGTGATTAATTTTATAAAACAAAACGAATGGGAATGATTGTATGAAACACAATGTAAATGAAGGTTAATGTGAAACAATGTATATAAACTTTGTAGGCAAACCAATATAAAAGAAAAATAAATGGAAACAATAATTTTTTTGTTTTGAAATGTTGTATATGTATTTTAATTTTGAATATTTTAAGTATATTTTCTCCACCTCAGCTGAGGGATGATTCCAAAAGCTTTTCATTCTACTTACAGATTTGAGAAATAGTTTGAATTTTGCTTCTAATCACACTGAAGTATTGTAATTTCTGGGACAGTTTATAGAAGTAAAAAGGTAGAAGATATAAAACTTCTCAGAAAGTTCAGGATACATAATGACTAAATACACAGTGTATGTCTGCTGGGCAGTTTAACCACTGCATGCCCATTAATTACGTTAATCACACTGAATTAGTCAAGCATTTTATTTATACCACCTAATTCAGTCTAAGATCGTGAAAGAGTGTGGAAAGGATTTGTTTCAATACTACTAAAAAGTATTTGTATCATAAAGGAAGATCAATTCATTACTGTTTTAATACAGCAGAGTTCTACAGGATGGAAGGGGGAAAAGGATGATGATGTAATGTCTGTATGTATTGTTAGATGCCGTTGAGTCAAGTATGACTCCTAGTTACTCTATGAACAACAGATGTGAAGCCAGTCCTACCATGTGCCATTTTCATCACCTCTGGCACACTTGAGCCTATTGGTGCAGAAATTGTGTCAACAGTCTGTATTAAATCAAAGTCCTAAGGTAGGCAGTGCAACCTCTTTTACCAAATGCAAGAGTGCCAAAGTGACAGTGTGACTTGCTTCAATCCTCAACTAACTTGTCATGCTTCCAATATAAACTACTATTACAGAAAAGAAACTTTTGACAAAGAGCTCCAAGACAAGGAGATACAGATTACCTAGTATGGTGCTTAACACAATTTCCTCTCAATGTGTGTGTGTGTGTGTGGGGGGGGGTTTGCGTACGCACACTTGCATGCGTGTTGGAATAATGAACAGAAGGTGCAAATATAAACTTGAACTACATTTCCTGACATAAGTGTTCATGCCTTGCTACATTCAAAAAGGAGCTCAGACATAATATTTGATAAATATAAGCTTAAAAGTTGGTCAAAGCAAGCCTTTCCCTTTTAATCTTAATACAGCAAAAGGAGCGGCATCCACTTCTGAAATGGCTTGCCTCCGGAAACTCTATAGCTTAAAAGTTGGAACACAGTAGGGAATAGGATGACGTCGGTAGATGTCACTAGTAGCCATATGATTGACAACTTCATCTTCTCTATATAGAGTAAGATGTGAAAAGCACACATTATCTTTCTAAGAAGAATCGTGCTACTTAATGGATTAGATTTCTTTTTCCAAAACCATTCCAGACTATTTAAATAGGGTAAACAACAGGAGATCAAACAGTGCAGAATCGGTACCCAAGATTATTAAAATGATGACGAAACCAGAGAACAAACATCAGAACAGATTTACCTAAGCAAGAGAAATGTAAAAATAAGCAAAACAATTGTAAGGAATCCTAGTGGCACACTGGACTATGCACTGAACTTAATCTGAGTTTAAAATGAAAGGTTGGCAGTTTGAAACCACCCACTGTTCTGCAGGAGAAAAATGAAGCCTTCCATTTCTGTAAAGATAAAGAGCCTTGACAACCTAGGGAAGAGTTGTGTTATGCCCTAGAGATCTGTTATGGGTAGAAATTGACTCAGTGGGTGGTTTGATTTCTTGGGAAATGTCTTCCAGAACCAAATGAACAAAATCCATTAAAGATCTTTACGTAAAACACAAGGATTTAAAGTAAAAACCCCTCCAAAATAATAAAAGGAAGGATAAAGTACTTAAAAGGGCAACCAAGGAGTTCAACTCCCCACTTACCGATGGCTTGAGCTAAGGCGATTACGACCTCCTGGCAAGTTGTGACTTCAGTGACTCCACACACAATCCTCTGCACTCCATCCACCCATACTTTAAGTTCCATGGTGCACCAGCCAGTCACCCGAATGCCCTGAGAAGGGTCATCAGGTGTCAGGTCATGTCTCTAACTGCAGAAACCCAAGTAAGGCAGATGATGTAGTCGGCTGAAAAGGAAAGAAAAAAAATTCAAGATAAAATATTTTGTTAGATCTTACTGTTTTTTTTGCAGTAGTGCTTTGTAGTATTCTTTTTTTATTAATTTTAATGAAAGTTTACAGAGATTTTGGATTTCTATTCATTATTATTATTGCACTTTTCTCCCTGCTCACTCCCTCCCGCCCCCTGTTCACTCTTTGAAAAGTAAGAGAAAAATTCTTTCACTGCTATACAATCCCTCCAACCAAGTCTACTCCACTGTGCAGCCTTCGTTCTGGACTCCTGTCACGATAATAATACCTAATCATATATCCCTTTTACACAGTTCTCTCCCTTATCTGTTTCAATTAAGTATACATAATTTATCCTATCTTTCTCAGTCTCCCCCCAGCCAACAGTGGCAATATGCAGTATATTTTTTTGTGACTGAGATATTTCCCTCAGCATAATGTCCTCCAGGGTCACCCATTTTGTATAATATTTCATGAGTTCCTTGTTTTTCAATGCAGCGTAGTATTCCATTGTGTGAATATACCACAGCTTCCTCTATCCATTTCGTTGATGGGCACACTCAGGTTTTTCAATGCAGCGTAGTATTCCACTGTGTGAATATACCACAGCTTCCTCTATCCAGTTTGTTGAAGGGCACTCAGGTTGTTTCCAATTCATTGCTATTGTGACCAAAGCCACAATAAACATGGGTGTGTATTTTAGTTTTCTTTATAAAGGTCTTTTGTCACTCTAGTTAGGTTTATTCCCAAGTATCTCAATTTGTGGTTGGCTATTGGAAATCTTATTGCTTTCTTATTTCCTTTTCTGTGTTTTGTTACTGTGGCAGAATTCTGTTGATTTTTGTATATTTTACCATTCTACTAAATTGGTCTACTAGATCTAACAGTTTTTGACTGAGTCCTTGGTGTGTGTGTATGTACAAGAGATAAAATGGAACCAAACTTAGAAGCTCTAGCCTATGATATAAACAAACTGGCAAATACAGTCAGAAATCCATAGCCAAGAGAGGATAATATCAAATAATGGGATCTTATAAATGGTAAGTCCCTGTGCATATCAAAAACTTTTTCGAACAGGGTGAAAATAAAACCTACTGACTGGGGAAATAACAGTCTGCTATCAGGGACCTCTCCAGAATACTCAAGAGCAACAATGTCAGTCTGGAGACTAAGGTGCGCCTGATCCAGGACACTGTCTTTGCAATTATTTGTTATGCATCAGAAAGCTGGACAATGACTAGGGATGATAGGAGAACGGATGCCTTTGAGCTGTGTGCTGGAGAAGAGTACTAACTATACCATGGACAGCTAGGAGAACAAACAAGTTCGTCCTGGAGAGGGTGAAGTGAGGCTGCTCCTTGGAGGCAAGGATTCTGAAGCTTTGTCTGATAAAATTTGGGCATATTGTAAGAAGGGATCAGTCGTTGGAGGTAGAGAAACAGTGCAAGAGAGGAAGACCTTTGATGAGATGGATCGATTCTGTCACTGGGGTGGTACGGGCAGGTGTGTAAGAGACAGTAAGGCTGGCATAGGACAGAGGAGGGTACAGGGCTGTTGTTCACAGGGTCGCTATGACTCACAAGCATCTCAATGACACATAACAAAAATGACGAAGACATCTAAAAGGCCTCATGATGGAAGTTTACAGAATACTATAGGGCCTTCACAAATAAAAGACTGAGAGCCCAATTACAAAATAGGAAAATGATATGGAAAGACTTAATAGAAGAGGGCAAATCAGATGGCAAACAGGTGCATGAAGAACTGCTCAAAATCACAGCAGTAATAGAGAAGCAAATCAAAACAAATGCAACACTATCTCACCCCAGCAGCAGTGGTAAAGTTTAACAGAACAGCAAGCAATAAATGTTAGAGAAGATGTGGAGAGACTGGAACTCTCATACACTGTTGGTGGGATTGTAAAATGGAACAATCACTCTGGAAGGCAGTTTGGCATTTCCTCATAAAAGATGAACACAGAAATTCTCTATGATTTAACTATTTCACTTCTAAGAATATACACGTAGGAAATAGAACTGAGACACAGATTTGCACACCGATGTTCATAACAGTGTTATTCACAATAGAAAGAAAATGGAAGCAACCCAAATGTTCATCAACAAATTAATGGATTAACAAATTGTGATACTCTCACACAATGGAATACTATGCAACATTCAGAAGCAACAATTTTTAAAAATATTATTTAACATGGGAGAGGTTAGAGAGCATTATGCTGAGTGAACTAACTAAGTCTCATAAGAACAAATGCTGCACAAGACCATTATTTTAACAGAAGAATAACTAGTAAGATCTGTATAAAAGCCCATTAGGGGAAAGGGGGGGTGGTGGTTCTTAGGGTGAAGAGGTGAGGTCAGGGAGCTATCACGGGAGGTAGAGTTTGGTGGATGAAGGAGTTTGGAAAAATCCAGTGCAGACCTGAAAAGACAGTATGGACATAGAAAAATGGTGATTAATTTTATAAAATACAGTAATTTTATGAAACATAATGTGAATTTATGTTCAGAGAGTTGGACAGTGATTAAGGAGGACCAAAGGAGAATTGATGCCTTTGAGCTGTGGTGCTGGAAATGAGTACTGAGGGTACCATGGACTGCTAGGAAAACAGATTCATCCTGGAGAGGGTTAAACTGGGCCGCTCCCTGGAGGCGAGGATTCTGAGATTCCGTCTAACATACTTTGGACATGTTGTAAGGAGGGACCGGTCCTTGGAGAGTGACATCATGCTTGGGAAGGTGGAGGGACAGCGCAGGAGGGGAAGGCCCTCTATGAGGTGGACAGATTCGGTGACTAGGGTAATCAGGATGGGTGTGCCGGAGACAGTGCGATTGGCACAGGACAGAGCAGTTTAGGGCTGTTGTACATAGGGTCATTATGAGCCGCAAGCGAATCGATGGCACATAAAACAACAACAGCGTGAATTAAGAAATATGTGTAACACAATATATATGAATGGAAAAAAATGTTTTAATTGCGATAGTTATGTGGTGTTGAGCTGACTAGGACTCACAGTGACCATATAAACAATAGCTCTGAACCCTGACCTCCTCACCCAATCTCACTGTTTCTGACACACCTGCCCCCGTTGCCACAGTCACTGTCTCAATTCATCCCATCCAGGGTCATTTTCTCTTGAACTCATCGTCCAGCCTTCCAAGCATATAGTCCTTCTCCAAGGACTGGTCTTTCCTGGTAACATGCCCCAATATATGAGATGGAGCTTCACAATCCTTGCCAATGTGGTTTCACCCTCTCCAGAACAGAGGTTTTATTGATTAGAATTATTATAACGAGTTTCCTGAAACTCAATTATATGTAGTTTTGGCTCTTGAAAGTTTTAAAAATATCATTTTTTTTTGTGCTAAATATGTGATAATCCTGATTTATTTTGGTGATCCTACTATTTCTCTGTTTCACTGTCTGGAGATCTTTTAGCTCTCTGTTTGAAAAAAAAATTTTTTTATATGATAGACAAAAGGCAGGTGATTTTAATTTGTAGCCCTCAGGCCTGGTTTTATTTGTTTTTGGTCTAACATTCTTCTAAGTGGTATAGGACTGGTCTGTCCTTTTGCTATAAAGAGGTAACTCGTGGTAGCTGTGATGCTAAACATTGTGACATTGATGTGTCAAGTGCGATAATGGTTACCCATGCTGGACAGTGTTTGGTGGAGCTCCCGATTAAAACAAGCTTGGAAGAAGGAGTGGCATCCATTTCCAAAATAGCTTGCCTCTGGAAACTCTATGAACTTGGAGAAACGATGAAAGTTATACAAGAGTTCAGGTCTTTTGTTCATAGAGTCACTATTAGCCGTCTACGACTCGACGGCACCTAACAACACAACAACAACATACAAAACATGAAATTAAAAAAAAAACAAACCCACCACTGAGTTTGCTTACAAGTTTATAGAGTAGTAGTTATGTTTCAGGATTAATGATTCAGAAAAAAGGTACTAAAAATACTAAAAATTTAATTGTAAAAGAGTATTACAACAAACAATAACCTATATGTTCTCTTGTTCTAGGCAAACCAGTGACCTGGGTAAAAAAGTTATGCAGGTAGGCCTTCTTTCTGCCTGGGGCCGGCTGTCTTCAACCCTCGGCTCGGGGCGAGCCGTGATGGCCCTCAGGGTGAGCTTCTCAGTGCCCAGATTGTGCCATCTGACCCCTGGGTGGGGAAAAATAAAATGCCTAAGGTATCCAGAGAATTTTATCTAGGCTACTTTTCGCCACCCTCTCCCCCAGTAAACCTGAAAGCAACACCCCCAAAACCCCTCTATTTGTAACTCACAAGTTTGTTCTCTCTAGGTTTGCTCCCTTTCCTATAGGTAACCTTAACACTGAGTTTTACTTCAGACCTGACCCTGAACCCAGTGCCAGTGACAAAAAGGAAATACAACTGCCAGCTAAAGAAGCAAAGGAAGATGGGGCCTCTGGGTTCAACCAGCCATCCCCACTGGACCCTCCAGGGAAAACACTTTGCAGTCCAGAGGGGAGCAAATGACAGGAAAATATCTTTAACAGAACAAGAAGGCAAGCAGCCTTAACCCAAGATCACCAGTAAGGTGATAAAGTGTCCTCCCTTTCCCCCTTCACAACAACGCCCCTGTTCAGCATGAAGAAGCCAGAGAGTCTGCATCCAGTTCCCAAATCAATAAGACAGCTGGTTTAAAACACCATTGGAAAATGCTTATCATTCCCCTGTAGCATCTGGTCCCCACTGGATTCTTTTCATTTCCTTCACCTGCTCCCCCCAACAACCAATTTCTGCAGCTCTGCAACTGCATCCCTGCCCATCCTCACCCTTCTGTCCCCAACCCTCACCTCCTTGTACCCCCAATATGTTTTTCCCAATAAAATAAAAAAAAGTTATGCAGATAATAAACCTAATTAACTTCCAGAGAAGGCAGAAAAATACTTCCTTGAATTAAAAATTCAGGTACAGACAAA